TCAGGTGTTTCAGGTGTATCAGGTGTATCAGGTGTTTCAGGTGTATCAGGTGTATCAGGTGTTTCAGGTGTATCAGGTGTATCAGATGTTTCAGGTGTAACAGGTGTATCAGGTGTTTCAGGTGTTTCAGGTGTATCAGATGTTTCAGGTGTTTCAGGTGTATCAGGTCAGCTCTCTGTGTTCCTGCAGGAGATGTTCTGCTGCTTCCTCTGCTGGAGTCTGCAGGTCAGGACATCAGCTGCTGGTTCGACCCCGAAACCAACGATGTGAGTCAGACATGTCTACAGTCAGACAGGTCTACAGTCAGACAGATCTACATTAATACAGGTCTACAGTCAGACAGGTCTACTGTCAGACAGGTCTTCAGTCAGACAGGTCTTCAGTCAGACAGGTCTGCAGTCACACAGGTCTACAGTCAGACAGGTCTACACTCAGACAGGTCTTCAGTCAGACAGTTCTTCAGTCAGACAGTTCTTCAGTCAGACAGGTCTACAGTCAGACAGGTCTACAGTCAGACAGGTCTTCAGTCAGACAGGTCTTCAGTCAGACAGGTCTACTGTCAGACAGGTCTACAGTCAGACAGTTCTTCAGTCAGACAGTTCTTCAGTCAGACAGGTCTACAGTCACACAGGTCTACAGTCAGACAGGTCTACAGTCAGACAGGTCTACAGTCAGACAGGTCTACTGTAAGACAGGTCTACAGTCACACAGGCCTACAGTCAGACAGGTCTACAGTCAGACAGGTCTACAGTCAGACAGGTCTACTGTCAGACAGTTCTTCAGTCAGACAGGTCTACAGTCAGACAGGTCTACAGTCAGACAGGTCTACTGTCAGACAGGTCTTCAGTCAGACAGGTCTTCAGTCAGACAGGTCTACTGTCAGACAGGTCTACAGTGAGACAGGTCTTCAGTCAGACAGGTCTACTGTCAGACAGGTCTACTGTCAGACAGGTCTTCAGTCAGACAGGTCTACAGTCAGACAGGTCTTCAGTCACACAGGTCTACAGTGAGACAGGTCTTCAGTCAGACAGGTCTACTGTCAGACAGGTCTTCAGTCAGCCAGGTCTTCAGTCAGACAGGTCTACTGTCAGACAGGTCTTCAGTGATACAGGTCTACAGTCAGACAGGTCTACTGTANACAGGTCTTCAGTCAGACAGGTCTACAATCAGACAGGTCTACTGTCAGACAGGTCTTCAGTGATACGTCTTCAGTCAGACAGGTCTACTGTCAGACATGTCTACAGTCAGACAGGTCTTCAGTCAGACAGGTCTACAGTGATACAGGTCTACAGACAGACAGGTCTTCAGTGATACAGGTTTTCAGTGATACAGGTCTTCAGTCAGACAGGTCTACAGTCAGACAGGTCTACAGTCAGACAGGTCTTCAGTCAGACAGGTCTTAAGTCAGACATGTCTACAGTCCGACAGGTCTACAGTGAGACAGGTCATCAGTGAGACAGGTCTACAGTGAGACAGGTCTTCAGTCAGACAGGTCTACAGTCAGACAGGTCTTCAGTCAAACAGGTCTACTGTCAGACAGGTCTTCAGTCAGACTTGTCTACAGTCAGACAGGTCTACAGTGAGACAGGTCTACAGTCAGACAGGTCTTCAGTCAGACAGGTCCACAGTCAGACAGGTCTACAGTCAGACAGGTCTTCAGTCAGACAGGTCTACAGTGAAACACATCATCAGTGAGACAGGTCTACAGTGAGACAGGTCTACAGTGAGACAGGTCTACAGTCAGAGACGTCTTCAGTCAGACAGGTCTACACTCAGACAGGTCATCAGTGAGACAGGTCTACAGTGAGATAGATCTTCAGTCAGACAGGTCTACAGTCAGACAGGTCTACAGTGAGACAGGTTATCAATTAGACAGGTCTACAGTGAGACAGGTCTACAGTCAGACAGGTCTACAGTCAGAAACGTCTTCAGTCAGACAGGTCTACACTCAGACAGGTCTTCAGTCAGACAGGTCTACACTCAGACAGGTCATCAGTGAGACAGGTCTACAGTGAGACAGGTCTTCAGTCAGACAGGTCTACAGTCAGACAGGTCTTCAGTCAGACAGGTCTACTGTCAGACAGGTCTACAGTCAGACATGTCTACAGTCAGACAGGTCTACAGTCAGACAGGTCTGCACTCAGACAGGTCTACACTCAGACAGGTCTACAGTCAGACAGGTTTTACAGTCAGACAGGTTTACAGTCAGACAGGTCTACAGTCAGACAGGTTTTCAGTCAGACAGGTCTACACTCAGACAGGTCTACAGTCAGACAGGTTTTCAGTCAGACAAGTCTACACTCAGACAGGTCTACACTCAGACAGGTCTACAGTCAGACAGGTTTTACAGTCAGACAGGTTTTCAGTCAGACAGGTCTACAGTCAGACAGGTTTTCAGTCAGACAGGTCTACAGTCAGACAGGTCTTCAGTCAGACAGGTCTTCAGTCAGACAGGTCTACAGTCAGACAGGTCAACAGTCAGACAGGTTTTACAGTCAGACAGGTTTTCAGTCAGACAGGTCTACAGTCAGACAGGTCTACAGTCAGACAGGTCTTCAGTCAGACAGGTCTACAGTCAGAAAGGTCTTCACTCAGACAGGTCTACAGTCAGACAGTTCTACAGTCAGACAGGTCTACAGTCAGACAGGTCTACAGACAGACAGGTCTACAGTCAGACAGGTCTACAGTCAGACAGGTCTACAGACAGACAGGTCTACAGTCACACAGGTCTTCAGTCACACAGGTCTACAGGCAGACAGGTCTACACTCAGGCAGGTCTACAGTCAGACAGGTCTACAGTCAGACAGGTTTTCAGTCAGACAGGTCTACAGTCAGACAGGTCTACAGTCAGACAGGTCTACAGTCAGACAGTACTGCTGTGATGTTTTTAACTCCTTCAGTTGGGTCTTTATAAAGTGAAACATCAAAACATTGGTCTTATTTCCTTAATGTAACTCAACAAGCCCCGCCCCTTTTCTGGGGATATCTAAGGTCTGTTTCACAGAGTCTGAGGAGAATAAAAAACACCAAACTGTAGCTGGAAATTCAGACCTTATTGAGTTCTGTCACAAATAATTTCAGTTCATTTATTTAATAAAAACAACMAAAGTCTATTTAAAAACAGTAAATTTGATGTCATAGTTCATAAACAGTCATAGATAAACTGAACGRGTTAAAACCAGAGCCAAACAGAATCAAGGTGCTGTATCTACACAGCACCAGGACACACTAAAGAGAGCAGATGTTTCCTACGGTGTCCTCCACATTTCCACTTCATTGTGTTGTCATCAGGAAATCACCTCATTATCTGGAGAACACACTCAGTGATGTTAAATATGTTGAAACCCATGGTTTTCTGGAGGTAAACACAGAATTATACATGAGGAAAATGTCCACTCTCAGCTTCCGTAGCCAACAAAATACCAGTTAAAACAGTGGATTTCTCAGATATGACCTCTTTATAACACCTTAAACATGTKCTTCATGTGTAACACTCCCTGAACCTGCTGCTAACCTGATGGTGGGCGGAGCCTGATCTGGCCAATCAAACCTCTGTGTCTAGTTTCTGTTCCACAGAGACCTTCAGCTGATTTTAAACTTGATCCAGGTCCACTACTTCCTGTGGTCCTCCTCCCCCTCAGGTCCTGAGGTGTGTGGACCCCCAGACCAGCTGCGTGAGGTTCTGCACCCCCAGGGGCCGGTTCCTGCATGTCCCCCCTGAGGGCCCCTGCTCCGACTGGGACAGCGACATCGGGGAGCCGTGGTGGAGGGACCCCCTCCTGGAGGTGGGCCGTCTGACCACCAAGTCCAGGTGGATCCGCGTCATCAACACGCTGACGTCTCAGGAGCAGCTGCTGGAGGTGAGAGCCAGGTGCATCATGGGTCATGGAGTCCAGACCCCAGCAGGTCCACCGGGTCCACTTCCTGTTTTCATCTTCAGAGTTTGTTCAACTGAACAAGAAGAAATGTGATCTGAAACTACAGAACCAAGAAGATAAAAAACACTTTAATGACCTGAAACACATACTGTTCTTCTTCTACCTGTCTGAGACGTTCTTCTACCTGTCTGAGACGTTCTTCTTCCTGTCTGAGATGTTCTTCTACCTGTCTGAGACATTCTTCTACCTGTCTAAGACGTTCTTCTAACTGTCTGAGATGTTCTTCTACCTGTCTGAGACGTTCTTCTACCTGTCTGAGATGTTCTTCTACCTGTCTGAGACGTTCTTCTAACTGTCTAAGGTGTTCTTCTACCTGTCTGAGACGTTCTTCTACCTGTCTGAGACGTTCTTCTACCTGTCTGAGATGTTCTTCTACCTGTCTGAGACGTTCTTCTAACTGTCTGAGA